GGCCGGGTTTGAACCCACCACCTCCGGTATGTGGGGCTGGTGCCCTACTCTTTTGAGCCACAGGTGCCACCCCCCCGCACCCCTCTTTCCTTGGATGAGGCATAGAAATTGCCCTTTTCCATCTGTTCACGCTGTTGGCACTTAGAGATTTCAGTCATTACTGGAATTGCTTAGTTGATGGCTATATATATACATACACACAGACATACCCTGTATATTGTGTCTTTGTTCTAAGTTTAGGATCTTTCTGTTAAAACTTCTCTCTCTCAGAAATTAACTTTATCACACAAAAAGTAAGAAAAATCTGTTTCCCTAAAACAAAGAGAGTTAGTTAAGATTTTCTTTCTTATTTCAGCCTATTCTATCCTTTCCCCCTGAGTAGTTATGAAGACAGAAATAATACCTTTCTAATTCAGTTATTTTCTCTTTAAGCATTTGTTTCTTGGAAAGTACATGTGCCTTTGTATGGTCTAATGCAGTGTTAACAGGTTAGAAGGCAGATAATGAGATATATGAATAGGTTTTTAATTTCTCTCTTATTCTCTGTGATGTGAAAATAGTACATCGTCAGAAATAAAACTGTCTGATCAAATGAACATGGGAAATGAGGGATAAATATAGGAAAAGGTTTGTGCTGCACGGTAATCACATTCCTGGAAAGAAAAATAAGGATGCAACGGGAGGTCCATGCAGTCCCTGTAGAACACAATCCTGTTTCAGTCCAGGCAGCATTAGGAAAGGAAAACGTGGCCTCCTTTGCGCACCAGAACAAGATTCATGGAGTTTCCCCGAGACATACCAAGGGGTTTTATTTTTCATGCCTTTTGTATCTGTTCTTTGGTACTCCTGAAATTCTTTTCCCTTATTCTCCCTGTCAGCAACTAAAGTACGCTTTAGTACTAGAGTATTCATACACTATGTCGGCCAAAGAAAACCTTAGAGACTAAAAGGGCAGTATTAAAAATACACCAGGATAACCATGTAAATAGGGACTATCCCAAGCCACCCAGGCTCTCTGTGGCTTTATTCAAGGAGCAGCACACAGGCCCCTGTTCCCTCAGGGAAGCCTTTCTGAATGACCCAAGTCAGAATGAATTTCTCCTTCCTCCAGGCTTCCCTTGGAAATATGCTGGTCCTCTCACTACACTGACTTACACTTTGGTTAGTGCATCCTCCTCTGAGTCATCTGCTAAATTCAGAGCTCTTTGATGGCAAGGATTGGTTTTATTTATCTGTGTATCCCAGTGGTTTTCAACTGGTGTGCTGAGAAAATTTTTAAAGGTCATTCATTAAATTATTTTCCAACAAAGTGTAAAGCACAGTATATTCTTTTTCTTCTTCTTCTTCTTTTTTTTTTTTTTTTGATCAACATAATGTAAGTGTTGTTACAGAAGTTCAACCATAGGTTCAAGTGTGCCATGAGATTAAAAAAAGTTGAAAAAACACTGATAGATCTCCAATCTCAAGCAGTACGTTTTGCCCTGCTTTCAATAAATACTTGCCAAATTGAAATTTTTGATGAATAATCGTTGCTTCAGGTACACCTGAAGAGAAAGAGAAATTCAGAAGTTGGGTGAAAACCTGCTGCAGAATTTCTAAAATGTTGACTATTAACTGGTCTTCCATATAAATTCTGACCGTTCCTGGGGAACTCATGGGTTATGACTGAGCCACGTTAACTCTTAACTCGCAGTGTTAAGACTGTTACATATTAACTCACCACCACAAGAGGTATTTCCATATATCATAAAAATTAAGAAATATTTACTTAGTCTGCAGGAATTTGAACTTGCTTTTGATTATTTTAACTTTCTGGAAAATAAAGCATGGCTGAGTCTGTATCAAACATCCACATAAAAATAGATTCTGATGTTCTGCTTTCAGATGCTTTGGAGAAATAAAATTTTAGCTTGAACAAACTGGATATTTGGCTGACTTTAGAATTTCTTATCCATATGTTTCATGCTATATAGAAGTATAGAGATGTCACAATACACATGTATATAACTATAAATGTTTCATATGTGAACAGAAATGTTATGTGTAAATGCACACTTTATTGGTAATTGGGAAAAATACATAGAAAAATCTAAATTTGCCACATAGTACAGATATTAAAAGATCATGAAAATATTTTTCCTCTTATTATGTCCTAAAGACCCATAGTTATAAGTACATATGGTAAATAATTTAACCTGTAAATTTGTCCCTTTGGTTCCTACAATACTTGTTGCATATAGTAAGTTGAGGAACTTGGATTTATTTTTGTATTCCTTAGCCAAAATTCAGTACCAGAAACATGTAAGTAAATAAGTTAAACATGTAAATAAATAAGTTTTGGACCAAAGTCAAGCAGTGGCCTCCAGGGCAACTACTTGCTGGCACATGAAAAAACTAAATTGGAAATAAAGTTGTCCAAGAACATCCAGGCACAAACTTAATTTCAAAACCACTTGATTAAAAGGGCCAGCAGGTCAACTGTCCTATAACCATTTCCTGGAACACCAAGAAACTAGAAAGACTATTATTCCAGTGTACACAGGCATTGTCTCTTTTTACAGCCCCTGGTAAAAATACAGAAGAATCATTTAATTTCTCAGCTCTAACTGTATCCAGCCTGTACAGGGTCACCAGCAGTCCTGCACATTCCCCGGTGGTTAGGGACCCAGGAGGTGTGGGAAAGCCAAAGTGAAGCTTTGTCTTGCTTTGTGTGCTTTCATTCAATTTCTGTATCTTTGACTAAGTTTAAAAACACAGCCACAAAAATTTTAAAACATTTAAAAAACCATATGTGTAGGCTGGAAGATATTTGATGTTTTATAATGTGTACAGAGAGTGGTAAATACTGCTAATAAAGAACAGTTGGATGAATAAAACAGGAGTAGAAGACCTATTTCCGAAACCCAGTTCTTTTAGGAGGCATGTTTGGTTTGGTGAAGTCGCTTCAGCTTCTTGTGTTCACATTTTTAACCTGAAAAATGAGAGTTTTGAATGAGATGGCATCTTAGGACCCTTCCAGTTCTCAGAGTAAGAGTGTGTGTGTGTGTGTGTGTGTGTGAGAGAGAGAGAGAGAGAGAGAGAGAGAGATTTCACTTTACGTTAAATTTGTTTGCTAGAATAGATAGAGCTAAGGATCTCATTAATATCTAACCAGACATCTGGCACCTTTAAAATCAGCTAAGGAAATAAGACACCCAGGGAGCAGAAGTGTGATGAATAATCTCTAATATCCTTGGCTTTGGATGTATTTCCTACTGAGATACAGAGTTCCCTGAAATTCTAGGGAAAAACAAAAAGTCATAGGAAATTTACTTCAAAAAGCAAAATGAAGTGAGAGTCAAACCCTGACTGAGAAGAAGCTGGGAGCAGTTTGATTTCTGGATCTTGTTTCTTGCTCACGTTCTCATTGTGACTCAGTCTTTGCTGGGACCAGATAATTCTGCTTCCTCAAGCAGAAGTCTTTCACTGTGTCCTGCGTAAAGCATTGGAAGCTGGGCCAAA